AACTGGCCCAAGACATGGGTCTTTCAAGTTCATTTTATTTTCATTTCATTTTCTTTAGATTTTTGTTAAATACAAAATTAAAATGAAAAGACCTGATTTAGCTCTAATTAAATCCTAATTTAAAAGAAAACTAAGGAAAAATCAAACCTAAAAATATAAAAATGGGATCCTAAATGCAAATGTGCTATTTTTGTATTTTTTATGAATTATATCAATTAAAATGCACACAAACATGCAAACAAACACAAAATCATGCAATTAAAGTCTAAAAATCGAATAATAAAAGGAAAAATCCTAATTTTATGAATTCTATAGGAATAATTCAAGCGAGGCAAAAATCACGTGCTCACAAGGTCGAACATAACCTTTTGTTTAAATTGCGACCGAGGGCCGGTATATGCTAGTTTGAACTAGGTCGAATATAGCCTGAATTTAGTTATGGCCGAGGGCCAGTAGGTGTTAGTTCGAACAAAGTTGAACATAACCTGAATTTAGTTATGGCCGAGGGTCAGTAGGTGTTAGTTCGAACAAGGTCGAACATAACCTAAATTTAATTATGGCCGAGGGCCAGTAGGTGTTAGTTCGAACAAGGTCGAACATAACCTGAATTTAATTGTGGCGGAGGGCCAGTAGTCTGAACAAGATCGAACATAACCAGAATTTAATTGTGGCCGAGTTCCAGTAGTTCGAATAAGGTCAAACATAACTTGAATTTAATTATGGCCGAGGGCCAGTAGGTGTTAATTCGATCAAGGTCGAACGTAACCTGAACTTGAGAAAGATGTGTTGATAAGTGCAAATTTTGTTGCCTTGACATTGTTGCTTTGGTTACATACTTGGAGAAATTTATAGATTTTTCGGGTGTTGGCTGGCGTTCCAGTCCCAGGCTATCTACTCCCTTCATTGGTTGACCTGGAGAGTATTTGAGAGGTCGAGCAATGAATTAGCAATCACGGCCCTGCATTCACGTACTTCGACTTAAAGTGTTCCCTTCGTCGCCTTGTCAAAAACCACCTTGAGAAAAACCAACTGGGACAAAACTCATGTGAGGGAAAAAAGAGTACGACTTGGGGGACACTTTATTTATTAAAAGTTGAAGTATTTGAGGTGGCTAATATTCCAGTTGTTTGGTAGTAGCTTTCCTTCCATTGTTTCTAGTTGGAATGACCCTTTATTTGCTTTTTGCTGTGATTTTGTACGGACCGTCCCAATTTGTTCCCATCTTGCCTTCCATGGGGTCTCTGCTCGCTTGTGTTTTAGCTTTCAGTACGTAGTCCCCGACTTTGAGTGGCCTGACCTTTGCTTTCTTGTTATAATGGCGTCTTGCTTGTTGTTTTTGGGCGATCATTCTTATATAGGCCATATCTCTTCGTTCATCGACTTCATCGAGTTCCTTCCTTCTACTCTTATTGTTGTTTGCGCCTCTCTCATGGGAGTACCTTAAACTGGGTTCTCCGACCTCGACTGGTATTACTTCCTCGGTCCCATGGACCAAAGAGTAGGGCGTCTCTCATGTGCTCGTTTTCGGAGTTGTTTGGTAAGCCCACAACACTTCTGGTAGTATTTTTGGCCATAGTCCTTTGGCGTCTTCAAGTTTTTTCTTCATGATGTTCAATATCGACTTGTTGGAGGACTCTCCCGTTGTCTACAGGGTGGTATGGCATCGAAAGTATCCTTTTAATATGCCATTTCTCAAATAATATAACGGTTTTATTTCCCGTGAACTGGGGTCCGTTGTCGCAGCTGATCTCTTTGGAAAGGCCGAACCGGCATATGATATTTTTTCATATAAAGGTAATTACTTCTTGTTCCTGTATTTGGGCGAATGTTCCTGCTTCCACCTATTTAGAGAAATAGTCATTAAAACCAAAAGGAATCGTACATTACCTCGCCCTGTTGGGAGGGGGCCCACGATGTCCATTCCCCATTTGATGAACAGACAAGGTAGGGTGACCGAGTGGAGGTGTTCGCCCGCTTGGTGAATCATTGGGGTGTACTTTTGGCATTACTCACATCTCTTCACGAAATCTGTGGCCTCCTTTTTCATGGTGGGCCAAAAATACCCCGCCCAATTGAGGCATCTGACCTGTACCCGATTGCCGGAGTGAGCCCCGCAATGACCTTCGTGGATTTCTTCAAGGACGCGCCGAGTTTGATTTGGCCTAGGCATTTTGCTAAAAGGCCGTTGTAAGTTCTCTTATACAGGTCGTTGTGGAGGATACTGTATCTGGCTACTTGCATTCTTAGTTTCTTGGCCTCTTTTTTATCATCTGGGCAAGTATGTAATAATACGATTGCGCCAATCCCAAGTTAAGCTTACGTTTCTTATCTCGACTTGGTCTAGCGATGAGTTGAGTAGGTGGACCATGTTTTTGTCTCTGGTTGTGATGTTTTTGGTGGTTGCGGCTAGTTTAGCGAGGCCATCCGCCTCAGCGTTCTGTGCTCGTGGAATTTTGTCGAGCTGGCATTCGTCGAACTTCGGCAGCAGCTTGCAGATTTTGGTCTGATATTTTTGCAATCTTTGTTCCTTGATTTGGAAGTCCCTCTGACTTGGTTGACTACGAGTTGGGAATAACAGTGTAGTTTTAACCGTTTTACCCCATACTTGAGTTCTAGTCTCAAACCTGCAATTACGGCCTCATACTCAGCCTCGTTCTTAGTCATATCAGGGCACCTTATGGACCGAAGAATTACTTCGTCTGTACAGAATTCGAGTACAAGTCCCAGTCTGGACCCCGACGCGTTGGACGCGGCATCGGTGTATAGGACCCATATGTCTTGTGTTTGGGGGGAAGTTTGGACGACTTCCCTTTCAACTTCAGGCATTATTTTTGCACTGAAGTCGGCGACGAAGTCAGTGAGCACTTGTGACTTTATCGCTATTCGCGGTTGGTACGTGATATCGTGCTCGCATAGCTCGATGGCCCATTTGGCCAGCCTTCCCGATAGCTCGAGTTTATGCAAAATGCTTTTTTGGGTGGAAGTCGTGACGACCGAGATGGGGTGGCATTGGAAATACGGTTTAAGCTTTCGTGAAGCTATGACTAAGGCCAAGGATAGTTTCTCGAGGTGAGGGTACCTCGTCTCGACGTCGACTAATGTTTTGGTATCATAATAGATGGGGGATTGCGTACCTTTATTTTCTAGAACTAGGACTACGCTCACAAGTACTTCGGATACAGCTAGCTAAACGAAGTGGCGCTCCTCCGGCTCCGGTTTTGAAAGCAAGGGTGGCGACGATAGGTATGCCTTTAGTTCCTTCAGGGCCTGGACGCACTCAGAAGTCTATTGGAGGCTGTTATCTTTCTAAAGTACGCCAAAGAATTTGTGGCACCTGTCCGACGACCGTGAGATGAACCTTGATAGGGCGGCGATATGGCCAGTCAACCTTTGAACCTGTTTTTTGGTGGTCAAGTGTTCTAGTATTCCCTCGCTGGCTTTGATTTGGTCAGGATTGACCTGGATCCCTCGTTGTGATACCAGGAAACCTAGAAACTTTCCTGAGGCCATGCCGAACGCACACTTTTTTGGGTCCAGTTTCATTCTGAACCGTCTAAGTATGTCGAAAGTTTCTTCCATCGCTTTGACTAGCATATCGTCTATATATACTTACATTGCTTTGCCGGTCTGGTCCTTGAACATCCTTTTCACCAACCTTTGATAAGTTCCCCCCGCGTTCTTTAACCCAAAACGCATGACCCTGTAGCAGTACGTCCCTTGATGGGTGATGAATGTGGTTTTTTCCTGATCCTCTTCTTCCATAAGGATTTTAATATAACCTGAATAAGCGTCTAAAAAGATTAGTAGTTCATGCCCGGCTGTTGCATCGATGAGTTGGTCGATATGGTGTAACGGGAACGAATCCTTGGGGCATCCTTTGTTCAAATCTGTGAAATCCACGCACATCCGCCATTTCCCATTCTTCTTTTTCACCATGACCATGTTGGCGACCCACCTGGGTTACTTCGACTCCTTGATGGAGCCATTTACTAATTGTTTTCCACCTCTTCGTATATTGCGTCATTAATTGTGGAGTTGAACTTATGCCTGACCTGTCTCACTAGGGGGTGGAATGGGTCGACGTTCAGTTTGTGGGTGGCAATTTCCTTTGGGATACCTGGTATATTTGCATGTCTAAAAGCAAATAAATCTGCGTTAGCTGTTAAGAATTGACGGAATTTACCTGCTTGAAGTTTGCAGCCTATTTAAGCCTTCTTGTTGTGGTCGTCGAGGTCTAATTGAACATGGTCGAGGTCTTCTAGGGTCGATCCTGCAGCTTCGACCATATCGAGGTCTCTGATGCCGTCCCCGCTACTGTCATATTCTGACCTCGGCCCTGCTGATTGCTATGCCTCTTTTTCTTTGTCCTTTTTTTGCTAGGTGGTCGTGGTGTCTAGAGCGATGCGGTAGTATTACGGGATGTGCATTTTTCCCCTCGTATACTGAATATTCCCCATGGAGTTGGGAATTTGATGACTTGATATAAGCTGAGGGGACGACTTTCATGGGGTGTATCCATGGTCGTCCTACCATGGCGTTGTACGTAGTGTCTTGGTCCATGATGTGGAATGTGGTTTCCACAGTTACACTACCGGCAGAACGGGGAGTGTGATTTCTCCAAATGTTCGCTTAACTGCATTGTTAAAACCAGTTAGCGTGATGCAACATAGCACTATCTTATCTTCGAGTTTCATTTGTGCAAGTACTCGAGGATGGATAATGCACATGCCACTCCTGTCATCTACCATAATGCGTCTCACATCGGTATCTAAAATTCGTAAAGTAATAACAAGGGCATCATTATGAGGAAAAGTCAAACCATCGGTATCTGACTTATCGAAGATGATACTCTCTTTGAGTTCATCGTACCGTTCGCGGGTGATTGACCTCTTGAGCTTGTGGGTAGTGGTGAATTTCACGTTGTTGATGGAGGAGTCATCACCGCCGCTGCCGCTGATGATCATGTGGATGGTATGAGCTGGTGAGGGCAGCTTTGGCGGTCATTGGTGTTGTTCGCATCCTCTGGCGAAGTTGGTTCTCCCCCGGTCGCTCAGCAACTCTTTGAGGTGCCCTTCTCGTAACATGTTTACGACTTCCTTCCTTAGGGCGATGCAATCTTTGGTTTTTTGCCCTCGTTCTTGGTGGAACTCATAGAGGGCATCGGACTTTCTGGTACTCGGATCTGACCTCATCTTTTGTGGCCACTTTACCTTTGGTCCGAGCTTCTTCAGAGCATAGACTATCTTTGTAGGTGACACACAAAAATTATGAGCGGAGAATAATGGGGGCATACCTCTTTCATTTCGATGAGTCGATGTGCCTTCTTTGTAGCAGGGGGGAGGCCGCACCGGCCATCCCGACATACGGTTGATGTCGTTCTCTGTTAGGTCACAGAACTGCGAGATATCTTCTGGCGTCGTTTCCTCGATCTTTTCTGGATTCAACCTGTACCGAGGTCAGTCGATGAGTTAGTCCATTAAGGTCGTATTCATCTGCTCGGACCTCGGCACAATAAGCGTTGTGTGTTTCGTCCCAAGTGGTTGGGGGATACTTCATCAGCCGATTCAATAGTTTCCTAGTTGCTCTTGAACCATCCCTGCTCAGCCCGTTCTGAAAGGCTGCAACCGCCATTCCTTCAGATACGTTCGGCAAAGTCATACTCACTCGATTGAACCGGGCGAAGAAGTCCCTCAGCCCCTCGCCTAGGGCCTGTTTAATGGCAAATATGCCGTTCACTCTCGCCTTGGCCTTCTTGGCTCCGACATGGGCCATTACGAACTTGTCGGCCATCTCTTCGAAAGTTTTTATGTAGTGTGCAGGTAGTTGTGAATACCTTGTTAATGCTCCTCCTGTGAGGGTTTCGCCGAACTTTTTCAGCAAAATGAAGGACACTTGCGCTTTAGCGAGGTCATTGCCTTTCATGGCGGTGACGTAATGAGTCACATGATCTTCAGGGTCGATTGTGCCATTGTATATTATGAGGTAGGGAAGCATTTGCAAGGTTTTTGGTATGGTATGGGGAGCTGCATCATCACTGTACGACTCTTCTATGAACCGGTCGGCGTCCCATTTTGGTAGCAACTTAGGAGCGCCTGGTATTTTATCGACCTGCTCCTGATGTTCTTTCATCTAATCCCGGAGCGCCTTATTTTCATTCTCCATTTCTTCCATCCTTTTGAGGATGGCTGTAAGGGCGTTATCACCTGCATTATCAGCAACATTATGAGTTATACCAGTCGTTGGAAGGGGTGGCTGATTGCACTGCTCGTCCATTTGTTGTATTTTGACAGTCTTTGTGGCTTCTGCAGTTGAGCCAGGAGTGGGTTTGTTGAGGATGCTTGTCAGTGTGTCACTCAACCACGCCTCGAGGAGCTTCTTGACAGTTGGGGGTGCCCCTTTCTCCGTAGACGTAGAGGCTCCTTTACCGTGAGGTTTTGTTATGCTGCAGTGTGGGGGTGGCAACCCATCTCGCCTAGGGTACTTACTCGGCGTCGTATCCTCACCCGCCGTTTCACAGCTCTCCTTGATGGCAGTTATAAGGTTGGTCGGGAATTCACTTGTTATCCTCATCCTTTCTTCTCGGTTGCCTACCATGTTAGGTTTTGAACAAGGAAAGAGAAGAGATCTTGGGTTTTGTGAGGTTAATGACCGGAGTTAGTTGTAGATCTAGAGGAAACAAAAAATTTAACTAAGAAATCCCCACAAACGGCGCCAAATTGTTTGAAAAAAATGAGAATCTTGGTTCAAATAATTTTAATTTTTATTAAACAAAGGTTAATCCTAGTTAAGAATAATATCCTCGGATCTTAATATTAGAAAAGGTAGGTGATAAGCGTTTTTGGGGACAGTAATGACACTGTGTGATAAATGTCATTAAATAATCAAGAACAGTGGTAGAGTGTATGATATTCAATAAATGATAGTAAATGGAATTTAAGTAAATGAGAGGAATAATTCAATCAACAAAGGGTGGAATAAATGAGCCTTCCACCTGACAATAATTGAATGATGAATCCTCGAATGATCGAAGATTTCTCGGATCTGAAGGAAAAAGACAGATGAGAATCTTAGTGAAAAGTGAAATCTTGTATTGAGTGAAGACTGAATCATTTTCAAAGTATTATTCTTTCAATTGAATCTTACGTGTCCCTCTTCTCTCTCTTTTTCCTATCTATATGGGATCTCTTCCCAAGAAACCCTAATAGTACAAATGTAAGGAATATTCGCTAGAATATCCACTAGAATATTCTCTTTCAGATCCTATCTTGAAAACTAGCTGTTACAGCTCTATCACCGGTACTCGACCTTGATCCTCATTGATGACTTGACTGCGGCTCTCCTCGACTCCTCGACCACATGCTAGTGCGGCTTCTCGGACCATCTTAAATGATGATTTGAGGACCCTTCTTATAATGTTATCTCGACCTGAATATTTTAAAGATGGATTTTGAATCATACACTTATAAATCCCATTCATCCGCATTAGGGGAAATGCGACACATTCAATAAATCACATTCTACGATTACAACTTATAAATTAGGTTCAATGATAGGGCTTATAAATCATATTCCGCGATTGCTACTTATATATCGCAATACTTGATTACGACTTATAAATCGCATTTCATAATTGTGACTTATTCCATTCATATACATGATTAACACCATTTTTATGCCACAAGATAGTCCTACTCATCTTTTATAAGTCAATTTACCAAGTTTCAGAATTTGACCAAACATCGCATTGCAATTTCAGATAAGGAGCTCAAAATTACGGAATCTAGTTCATGACATTATCGTCGTCATTCCTGCCATCAGAATTACGTACATTTTTGTTTATGTGTTGCCTTTATTCTTTTTGTTTTTCACCCGGTATTCGGTACCCGCATTGGAGTTCGACTATATCCGGATTCGCACTATGTAGGGCCCCATTAGAGAGGAAGCGCTCCCTACCAAGGATTTTTTCATACCTAAGGCTCGAACCTGAGACCTCTGGTTAAGGGAAGAGCATTCCCATCCATTGCACCACATCCTTTGGTGGTTGTGTTGCCTTTACTAGTTTAGCAAATAGGCAACCCAAAGGCTGTACAACAACAACAACCATCCAGTATAATCCCACAAGTGGGGTCTGGGGAGGGTAGGATGTGCACAACCTTACCCCTGCCCTGGAAGGGCAGGGAGATTGTTTCCAATAGACCCTCGGCTAAAGAAGGTGAAGTAAGCCCTGATATCAAGTAATAGCAAGACAAATAATTAGAAAACTAAATCGGAGATAGCAACAGAGAATATGAAAGGGGTACCGACAACAAGTAATAGCAAGATAGTATATTTAGAGAAATAAATCCAAGTCAGCACACGAGAATATGAACGAAGTACTGCTATCAAACTACGGAATTACCGATGACAAGTAATAACGGAACAAGACATGCGAATATAGCAAACTAAGAAAAAGGGTACCATACTAGCACTAATACTATCGAACTAGAGAGGACAAAGAGAAACGCATGACTACCTACTAACCTTCTACCCTAATTTTCAACCTCCACACCCTTCTATATAGGGTCATCTCTTCGGTCAGCCCAAGTTGCTCCATGTCCCGCCTGATCACCTCTTCCCAAGACTTCTTTGGCCTACCTCTACCCCTCCTCTCACCTCCTAAGGCCAACCTCTCACATCTCCTGACTGGGGCATCTGTGCTTCTCCTCTTAACATTCCCGAACCATCTCAACCTTGCCTCACGCATCTTTTCCTCCACATCGGCCACTCCCACCTTGTCCCGAATAACTTTATTCCTAATTCTATCCAACCTAGTATGCCCACACATCCATCTCAACATCCTCATTTCCGTTTCTTTCATCTGCTGGACATGGAACTTTTTGATTGGCCAACACTCTGCCCCATACAACATAGTCGGTCTAACCACTACCTTGTAGAACTTACCCTTGAGTCTCAACGGTATATTATTATCACACAAGACACCACAAGCGAGCCTCCACTTCATCTACCCTGATCCGATACGGTGTGTGACATCCTCATCTATCTCCCCATTCTTCTGAATTATAGATCCCAGATACTTGAAACGCTCTCTCCTGGGAATGACTTGCTTACCTAGTCTCACATCCCCGTCTGCCTCCTGGATAACACCACTGAACTTGCACTCCAAGTATTCTGTCTTGGTCTTACTCAACTTGAAACCCTTAGACTCTATAGTGTGTCTCCAGACCTCCAATCTCTCATTAACGCCACCTCACATCCCATCAATCAGGACGATGTCATCCGCAAATAACAAGCACCAAGGCACCTCCCCTTGAATGTGACGCATCAAAGAATCCATCTCTAGGGAAAATAAAAACGGGCTAAGTGTTGATCCATGATGCAACCCCATCTCAATAGGAAAGTACTCAAAGTCTCTTCCTGCTGTCCTAACCCGTGTCTTAGCCCCATCATTCATGTCCTGAATCACTCTAATATATGCTACAGGCACTCCTCTAGCCTCCAAACATCTCCATAGAACCTCTCTAGGGACTTTGTCATAGGCTTTCTCCATGTCAATGAACACCATATGCAAATCTTCTTCACCGCCCTATACTGCTCTACCAATCTCCTCACAATGTGAATGGCCTCAGTAGTCGACGTCTCGGCATGAAACCAAACTGGTTCTCGGAAATGGACATACACCTCCTCAACCTCCCTTCAATCACCCTCTCCCACACTTTCATCGTATGACTTAACAACTTGATACCCCTATTGTTGTTGCAGTTTTGGACATCCCCCTTGTTCTTGTACAACAGTATCATCGTACTCCGCCTCCACTCTTCGGGCATCTTCTTCGTCCTAAAAATGACGTTAAACAACCTAGCAAGCCATTCCAAGCCCTCCTTACCCACGCTCTTCCAGAATTCCACCGGGATCTCATCCGGCCCAGTCGCTCTACCCCTACTCATACTGCGCATATCCCCTACAACCTCCCCCACTCGTATGCATCTACAGTACCCAATATCTCGCTGCCGCTCCAAGTACTCCAACTCCCCCAGCACAATGCCCCTATCTCCCTCTTCATTCAAGAGTTTATGGAAGTAATACTACCATCTCTGCCTAATCTGTGCCCCCTCCAATAAAACTCTTCCCTCCTCATCTTTTATGCATGTCACTTGGTCCAGATCCCGGGTCTTCCGCTCTCTCACCTTCTCTAGCCTGTACAACTTCTTGTCCCTGCCTTTATCCCCAATTTCTTCGTATAAACGACTAAACGCCACGGTCTTAGCTGCAGTAACCGCCAACTTCGCCTCCTTCCTAGCCTTTTTGTACCCCTCCATGTTAGCACTCTTCTGTCCCTCGTATGTACTCTCTACTAGCTTCAACTATGCCGCTTTCTTGGCTTCCACTTTTCCTTGCACCTCTTCTTTCCACCACCAGTCCCCTTTATGGCCACCAGGAAAACCCTTTGAGACCCTTAACACCTCTCTCGCCTCCTATCTAATACAATTTGCTATCATAGACCATATACAACTCACGTCCCCGCTACTCCTCCAGGTCCCCATAGCCAACAACTTCTCCCCTAACTCCTGGGCCTTGTCCACCTGACCCTAGGTATACCAGACATAGCCCTCTTCTTCCTCGTCCACCTGATCTCTAAGTCCATAATCAAAAGCATATGTTGCGTCGTAAGATTCTCACTCGGGATGACCTTGCAATCCGTGCATAGACCTCTATCACATTTCTGGAGAAGTTGATGGTCAATCTGGGTCTTGGCCACCATACTCCAAAAAGTTATCAGGTGCTCCGCCTTCTTCGAGAAATACGAGTTAGCGATCACCAGCTCAAAAGCTTTAGCGTACTCCAGCAGCAAAGTACCTCCTCTGTTTTTATCTCCGAAACCGAAGCCACCATGAATACCGTCATATCCCCGAGGAGACCTCCCAATGTGGCCGTTAAAATTACCCCCTATAATAAGTTTCTCGATGGATAGTATACCCCGCACAAACCCATCCAAATCTTCCTAGAACTGTCTATTAACCTCCTCGTCCAAACCCACCTGAGGCGCGTAAGCACTAACTACTTTCAGAGCATACCCTCCCACGACTATCTTAATGGCCAACAACCTGTCATTCACCCTTTTAACCTCAACCAATAGCTCCCTTAGATCCTTATCAACTAAAATGCCTACCCAATTCTTCCCTCTCACCCTCCCTGAATACCACAACTTAAACCCATCAGCCTCCCGAGCCCTGTTCCCCACCCATCTAGTTTCCTAGACACAAGCTATGTTAATCTTCCTCTTATGGAGAATCTTCGCTAACTCTATAGACTTCCCCGTTAGAGTCCCTATGTTCCATGACCCCACTCTCAACCTAGAAGGTGCCTTACCCCCTGCCACCCTTCACCTCTACCCCCCCTCTCCCCCCAAGGACATGCCCTCACTCTATCATAGCCGACGCGGCCACTAGACCAGCACAAAGCTACAAACAGAATAGACTAAAAAGGAATAGGCTAAACAGAAACCTACAGGTACACAAGGTGCTAATAAGAGATCCGACTAAGCAGAGACAAACTATGTATTAGTTATAATACTAAAGTGATAAATAGAGACAGATATAAGCCGACAAGTCTAACTAAATATAATTTAAACATGATACCGTAGATGTCAAAGATACAGGCAAGCAAAAAAGAAAAAAATGACAATAAAAATACCGATACCATGAATACCAGATATAGAAAAAAAGAACTTGGAGCAAGTTTTCTTGAAGCGTGTCGGATCTGCTCAAGAGCACTGACAAGTCCTGCTGCGTCCTGCCGGAAAGCTGTTCAGAAGTTGCTGGAATTTATGAAACTTGTCAAAAATCTGTACACACCGGGAAATAGTCCGTCCTCGCTGGGAAAAAGCTGATACTGTCTAAAGAACAGACGTACCCCCACACACACATAAAAGGGGAGAGGGGGGGAGAGAGAAAGGGAAAGAGAGAGAGAGAGGAAGAAGAAGATGGAGCCGGGGTCGCCGGAAAAAGCAAAACCAGAAGGGTCGCCGAAAATCAAAGGTCGTCGAACTTGCAGCAACTCACCTGGAACACGCATGTCTCGACTCTGGTAGTGAGAACGGAAAAGAAGAGAACGAATAGAGAGAGAAAAAGAAGAGAAAGAAGAAGAAGGAGAGAGAAAGAGAAAGTGAGGGAGAGAGAGAGAGAGAGAGGACGGAAAGAGAGAAGTGACTTACTTGTAACAGCACCTGCGGTGGCGACGGCGAAGTAGCAGATGCCGGAGTGTAGCTACTAGGGTGCTACTGAGTGTAGCTACTAGAGAGAAAAAGTCAGTAAACGTTCACTTTTCTAATTTTTACTGTTGCATCCCAAAGGCAATGATAATTCAAAACACTTCTCCATAAAGAACTGAATTGGATGGTTAATCTTTAATCCCAACTGAAATTATTCCCAATAATCTTTTTTTTTGGAATTAAAAGTGTAACGATCCGGCCGGCCGTTTCGAGAGTTATAGCTCTGTTTCCCCCATTTCTGCTTCTTTTTGTATCCTTCAGCTATATTATGATATGTTGGGTCAGTTGGTTCGGGACTGAGTGGATTCAGGGAGGATTTGAGACACTTAGTCTCTTTTGTGAAGGCTTAAGTTTGGAAAGTTGACCGAATGTTGACTTATGTGCAAACGATCTCGGATGTGAATTCTGATGGTTCTGTTAGCTCCGTTAGGTGATTTTGGACTTAGGAGCGTGTCCAGAATGTAAGTTGAAGGGCTGTGGTGGTATTAGACATGAATTGGCTAAAGTTGGAATTCGGCGATTTTTAGTCGGCAGTGGAAAAATTTGATATCGGGTCGGAATGGAACTTCAGAAGTTGGAGTAAGTTCGTAGTGTCATCTGTGGCTTGTGTGCAAAGTTTGGGGGTCATTTGAACGTGATTTGGTAGGTTTCGGCGTCGTTTGTGAAAATTTGGAAGTTTAGAAGTTCTTAGGTTTGAATCCGAAGGTAATTTGGTATTTTGATGTTGTTTTGGGAAACCCAAAGGTTCGACTAAGCTTGAATGACGTTATGGGATGTGTTGGAACGTTTGGTTAAGGTCCCGAGGGCCTCGGGTGAGTTTCGGGTGGTTATCAGATCATTAGTTGGCTTTGAAAGTTGGCAGATCTCTGATATCTGGTGTCTGGTATTGGAAGTGCGGACCGCACAAAAATGGCACGGACCGCAGGGGTGTTATGCGGCCGCATGGGAAATTATGCGGATCGCGGAGGTGTTGTGCGGCCGCAACAGAATGGTGCGGATCGCGGTGAGGGGTGTGCAGCCGCAGTGAGTTTTACGCGGACCGCGGAAGGGAAAGGGCTCAGGACCTGCGGCCGCGGCAGAATTTCGCGGACTGCACAGTGAAGGTTCAGGGAGCACTATATAAGCAAGGCTTAGGGTTTTATTTCACATCTTGGACTTTGGGAGCTCGGTTTAAGGCGATTTTTCGAGGGTTTTTCAAGAAATTCATCAGGGTAAGTGATTCTAACTCGGTTTTGGCTAATATTCATGAATATATCATTGAATTCATCATTCGATTCGTGATTTGGGATGGAATTTTGGGAAAATTGGTGAAGTTTTATAAAATGAATTTTTGGGATTTGAAAGCCGATTCGAAGTTGGAATTTAGTGAAACTAGTATGGTTAGTCTCATAATCGAATGGGTTGTCGGATTTTGTGACTTTTGTCGAATTTCGAGACGTGGGCTCAGGGCCCGACTTTTCAGTTGACTTTTTGACTTTTGATCTAAAGCTTAGTATTTTCTTATGGGATTGATCCCTCTAGCTCGTGTTGATTGCATTGTATTGCTTTGGCTAGATTCCGGACGTTTGGAGGCCGGTTCTAGAGGCAAAAGCGTCGCGGAGTAGGGTTTTGACTTGATTGAGGTAAGTAACGCTTTCAAACTTGGTTCTGAGGGTTCGAAACCTCGAACTATGTGTTATGAGACTAGTATGGAGGTGTCGCACATGCCAAGTGACGGGCATGCGGACGTGCACCGTGAGAATTGTGGCCTGGATCATTCCATGGCACCGTTTAGTTACTCTTTCTTGCTGATATCCGTATTTCTATCATGTGATTAAGTAAATGAGCTGTAAATCATACTAGATATCATGTTAGGGCTTCACGCCGATATTGTTGAGACCCGAGTGGTCGTTTATTGCTGTCATCTCATTAGTTTCATTGATATTCTGTACTCAGTCTTAGTCATGCATATCATATCATGTCTCAGTATCGGTTATTACTATTTGGCACATCATATCATTGTTCCGGGCTAGTTTTATGATATTGTGAGCCCGTGTGTGAGACTGGAGAGTGATGACTGAGTGAGGCCGAGGGCCTGATTATGAGTGACAGTTATGGGATCGGGCTGCACGCCGCAGCGGTTATGTTGATGATTATGATAGCGCTTGGGCTGTAGGAGCCCCTCCGGAGTCTATAAAAGACCCGCAGTGAGTGCATATGATATTATTGAGAGATGGATCTTCCCTGGACATGGATCTTGTCCGAAGTATTTATACCTGGAGATGGATCTTCTCCATAGGGTTGGAATGGCCTTCCCCGGTACTGAGTGACTGCTGTCAGTAATGTGTATATATTCCGGGATGGATCTTCCCTGGGCCGGATGGCCATATACAGTACCGAGTGGTTGAGCACTTGAGAGTGGAGGTAGATGGAACATTTTCATGCATTCTGTGCATTGGCACATAGAGATTAGCTGAGCTTTATACTTCACATTGTCCAGATTTGTAATTACTTTACTGTTTGAGCTGAATACTTGAATTGCAAGCATGCCTACTTTACTGCACAGTTAAATTCTGTTTACATGTTGAGGTTAGTTCGTCACTACCTATCAATCCATAGTTTGGACTTGTTACTTCCTGAGTTGGTGTACTCACGGTAATCTGCACCTTGTGTGCAGATCCAGGTATCTCTAGCCATGGTAGCGGCTGTTGACTATTCCAGTTGCTGACTTTCATCGGAGATAGCGAGGTAGCTGCCTGGCGATCACAGTCCTGCTTTTCTCCTTCTTTATCTTCCCTTAAGTGTATTTTGGCTATTCTCAGACTATGTTAGTCTTACTATATTTCAGAACTGTTGTAGTAGTTGCTCATGACTTAGTGACACCCGATGTCGGGCTAGTTATTTCCGCACTTTGTTTTCGAGATTGATCTCTTTTATGAAATTTCAGTATAAAAAAGGTTTTTATCTATCTTTAAATGAAATATCGAATTGGTTGAAAGAGTGTCGGCTTGCCTAGTTCCATGATAGCCGCCATCACGACCGGGTTTGGTTTTTGGGTCGTGATAAAAAGGGTAAAAAGATTCTAAAAAAAGGTCAAACATCAACTTCAGAATAAAACTTCAATCCTAAATATTGGAGTAGTTCAATCAAAATTTAAAATACTAATGCTAGCTAGAATTTTATCCAACCTAAAATGTAGCAATATTAAAGTTGGATTAATACTACTTTGTTGGAAAAATGTTGCGGCCAAACGCACACGCAAGTATACGCGGTCGTCAAGTAATAAAGTGACTAAAAGTCAGATGCCGAACCCACGAGGACTTGTGATTAACTATTAACTAAATTAGACTATCCTAACTATCTAAACAAGAATTAAAACTAGAAGTATTTGATTCTAAACTAATTAAAATAAAGAAAAACAAATAATGAACTTTGAACAGAGGAAGATTAGATTTTTATGTTATCAATGCGATGAAAACGATCTAGGGTTATAAGCTATCTAACACTCCTATTGTATTCTTCAATTGAATTGACTAACTAATTCATCTAGCTTATTGGTTGACAGGGTTAATATTGCTCATAAGAATCTGTCGAGTTCTTACTCACCTATTCAAGCTAACCTAATGTTCTATATGTCTATGGAATTAGAACTAACAAGAACGAATTTATAATTCATGTAAATCAACCAAGCAAAGCAATTAGGTATATGTCTATCCTAACTACAAATCTGTTCCCGATGCCCAGGCTCAAGACATTGCTCTACTAAAAAAATTATGTGCAATCTAGAATCCCCACTTTCGAGTTCAACTCTAGATTCGTAGATAGTATTCAATTGGTGATCAAGCAATTAAATAATTAAGCGCATGATTGAATAAATAAACCAATATGATAAATCAAGAAAGCAAAATCAATATTCGAATAACAATAGTCATGAAAGAACCACAGCCCTAGAACGTGAAGTTTAGCTCCACATAGACATGGTAGCAAAACAACAAATCATACAAAGAAACATAAAAATTACTAAGTTTGGTAGATGAAAAACTTGTTGCCCGGCCTCCACGGCGGCTCTGTGCTCTTCCTTCATCAAAAGTTACTCTAAAAAATATTTTTACATGTATTTATACCCAAGTAGGGTCGGGCACAAATGAAACCACCTTCTCCTGCACGAAATAGGAAAAATACTCTGTAAAAAATATACAAGCGCGCCACATGGGGCGACGCGCCACGGGGGGTTGTAGTGGACTTTATCAAGAACTTTGCAATTTCGAGGCAGCAGCAAAATGGGCAGAGTCTGCCTTTTTGCTTCGTTTTTGAAGTCCAGATGTGGTTCTCAACTCCCGAGCGCGATCCCGGCTTAATCCCTTGGGCTTTTACTCAGACTTCAAAGCTCCAAATAGCTCGAATTCGTTCCATAATATCTACATAGCTCGGAATCACTCCTACAAGGCATTAAAACGTGCAATTAGTGTAAAATACTAGCGATTAAAGCTCAAACTCAATTAAAGTGTAGTAAATTAGAGTGTAACAAGCGACTAAAATATGAGATTATAGCCTACCATCAGAAAACTAAACAGTATAGTTGGTGTCAAAAATAATATCCGACAAAATGTATATCATTTGTATATATATGTATAACATACATAATTTTTATATATTGGCTAGTGGATGTAATTATTTTTATGTTTTGTGTTGATGTAAGCTTGGACATAAAATTATTTTGGCTTTTTTAAATCCCTTTTCTTTGAAATAATTGTTTTGTCTAGTCGGTTATTCACTCCAACTTGAAGTTTTTAAATAAAGATATTATTTCCTTCACAAATCTTTAATTTTCAAGTAAAAATGCATATTTTAACCAAATTTACTTTCAAATATCCTTTTCTAACCTCAATTTCAAATAAAAAGATTTTTAAATTTTAACCAAATGTATGTCCAAATTAAAACTCCTAACTAGTTTAGGAAAATAAATTTTAAAGAGACTTATAAAACTTAAATACGTTTTACTTTAATGAGAAAAATGTCATTATTAGCTTACTAAAATTGCCACGTCTTCCCTCGTACTCCCACTCTACCTGAAAAAGGAATACATGGCAAGAAACAGTAAAAATCTCTGTCACTACTCATTTCTCCATTTCCACTCGCCACTGTGCAAATACTCCTCTTACCACTAACGTACAACGTACGTTTCCACCGGAGATTCTAACATTCTTTCCCGCCGGCAATGGCGAATCCCGGTCAACGGGAAGGGTACAACTTGGAGTACAGATATAAGGTTGATGACTCATGGTATAGTGTACGACTCGTGCTAAAAGGCCAAAGGTTGACTGTGAAGTACGAGGGATATCCGGAGGAAGTCGACACGATTTTCGACGTCGGAGACTTCACGTCGAAGGAGGAAGTCGATGAATTTGTTGAAAGGTTCAGGTGTGTGTCACCGCAGCTGCAAGATCGTGAATGCTGTACTCTCAAGGAAGGTATGATCGTCTGTGTTGCCTGTAATGCTTTCTGTGAGGATGACATGCTGTTCTACGACGTTGTTATTGAAGCGGTGAGTTATGCATCTCAGTACTTGCTTATTTCCTCTGTATAATTTCCTCTGTTTTATGTTAGTGTAAGATAAGTTTGTAGCTCCAGTGCGCGAAATCTATGGCGACAATCCTTTTTTTTTTTTTTTGCATTTTTTCCGTGAAAGTTTGCTGATCTTTCTGTCCAAATGGAGCTGCGTAATATCTATTTGTATGTGAATATATGTACTCACTTTACGATTTAGTCCAATAAAAAATTTCTTTGCTTAAAATGAAATTCAAAATCTGTTAGCTATAGCCAAAAGCCTTGCTATTACTTTACGTAATATGCTTTTACCCGAAGTTCTTTAGCCTTTCAGAGATCTGTATCGTCAGTAGAAAAATATAAAGAGGTTCTAATTCCTCCGTTTCAATTTATTTGGACCTTCTCGGAGGGCGATGATCAAATTGACTAATTTTCAGGGTGAATTCGAACGTAGATTCTTTAAGTTTTTTGAAATAAAAGGTTAATAAACAGAGTTGAAATGTTGAAATACTCGGGATGAACCTCATAGTGAAGCTCATGTGAGATGAAATGTGCTTCTCCAGATGATGAAGAACTCCACTTTAAAGATAGAATGAATTTCATACATTATCATAATTCAGAAACTTGTAGAGTATTAGAGAGCTGCTATATTTCAAAGAGTTAGTGTTGAGAAACAATTGAATGATCCTCTTTCTAAGTGACAATTCTGAGGATATTCTCTTGGGTTAATTAGAGTATTCACTCTTATTTGTACTCTCTATTGCACATCTTCTGGTAAAGTAAATTTGCTCCTCCCTAATTGACTAAAATCATTGAAATACTGTGTCTTTGTTACTCTTGTTACTGTCATTTAACAACTTATGCTCTCAAATTCCTCAGTTTTCCGACCTCCATATAATGCTGGAGAAATTCAAATTCGAGCTAAGCGGACTACAAGTTTTCCAAATTTCTCTATGGTTGTGTTTCTATTTCATTATAACAACTTAATAAGGGATCATATCTTGAGACATATACTTTTCATTCTTCTGTATTTAGATTCAGTTGTGTGTTCATTCCTTTTTTATCAATAAATGAAAGCTTAAATTTTCTTTGCTTACTTGACTTCGAAAATAATTAAGAAAGCAGAAAGTCGAAGTATATATGTTATTTGACAAGTGACAGCGGAAACTACTGAATTGCTTCAAATTTGATTCTACCTCTCTTTGGTAGATACACAATGTGGACCATTCATTTCCCAATGGAGAGGAGGAGTGTTTATGCACCTTCATAATATCTTGGCTTCACGGTCCAAAGGAAGGATGCTTAACCGCTACCAGAATTGAAGGCATGTGTACCATAAAAGGTGTTGCTCAAGTTGATCCTAAAATAGCTTCCTTCTTGAAACAGGTGAACCAGAATCTTGGAAAATCCTCTTCCATGTTAACTTCTGCTTCGAAGAATGACAGTCCAGCATCTAAAGTATCAGTTTGTGAAAGAACAGGCAGTAATTTGTCTATTAATTCATCCTTTGAGGCAAGTTTTACTGTATAATGTTCATAAATAAGACATTAACTGCTTCCTTGTTCCATAGGGAATTAATAGTGCCAAGAGTATCGTTGGTGTGACATCAGGAGGTATGTTCAGAAACTCCATCACCTGTTATGATGCAATACTTTCACCTTTTCTTAATTTCTTCCTTATGAGCTGCAGCAACAGACAGTAGTATAGCAGGGATAGGGAACAAGACAAAGATCTTGGAGGGCTATACCCAAGTTTCTATCTCATGCTTATTGAAAACTTGGAGAGAAACTTATTACCATCATCATTCAGGGATTTTATACATGAAAATACTTCTGTTTCATCAGAAGTATACATTTTACCAAGTCTATCTATGCCATATGCGAGAAGTATTATTGCGGTTGATTGTGAAGCGAAGCTTCAGCAGATACACCAGTTTTTGGAGAATCCATCCCACCTTGTTGTGTCCTCAACTGGAAGGTATGCCCCATGCATTCAATTTCTTCATTGTTGTAGCTGACTATAATAAATGCTAACATGTCTATAAATGCATAGGAGCTATAGGTTCAGGTTGTATTGTCCCATTTCACAATACTGATTCCATGAAGCATTTAAGCAATTTTTGGCACTATTTGCTTTTCTTTATTTCTCAGTCTCTAAAATTGGTTTACTCCAATCCCCTGATATCTACATGGTAATGAAGCATTACGCCGTGTCTGGTGCCACTTTGGTCTCTAATGCTTTTATAAGCTAGTTCTTAGCGATTTAGGTGTTTAGATCTCCAAGTAATCCTCTCCAAATTAAATTTGTGTCAGAATTGTAGATCCTGTTGCCATTAATGCATACAATCAAGATTTTCATGCTCGTGCATCCATCTTCTAGACTGTCAGGGAGTTGCGTGTTTTTTGTTTGTCTTTCACAGGCCATTGGTTATAACTGAAAGAGATTCAAGGCAGGACATGATTAAGATGTGGTCTGGGATCTTGGGCTACGGACCTCTAAGACTTTACAACTTTATAGGCTACATGAAATCAGGTTGTAAGGCAAAAAAGGATCCACCTTTCCTGGATGTGAAGCATTTCATAAATGAGTTGAGAAGCATACCAAATACGATACAGGTTAAAAGATGTCCTTATATGAGGTACTATGATAAAGTAGAAAAAGTTCCAGTATAAATAGATACCTGCTACTTGTCAAAAAAGAAGAAAAAAAGGGAACCTGGATGCTCCAATTATCACTTGTCAAACTCAATTACACTATACAACAGGATAATATAAAGGTAAGAATGTAGAAATATAGGTCATGATTGTGAGGAAGTTATGTTATTTAGGCGTATTAGAGAAAAGGTTCAGTATCGGAATCAAACTCTTTTTCATCAGTAGTAGTTGGATGAAATGAAGAAGAGCAAAGTCACACTGACCCTAACCTTGTTGGAGTAATCGCCAACCCCTAAATCAAATTCATGCACGGACAAGCTTAATATATTGGTCCATGCACATCCGTACCTACAACATCTCCATAGAGTATTTATAGGGGAGAGCATTTTTTTGAAATTTGAACTTGGACAAGTCATATACTTCTAATTTCTCGTAGCCAAAAGATGTTCTATAGCAGTTTGTCCAGGTTGATTTTCCCAACCTCACCTTAGTTCCCTGTCTTATGTAGGATATGCATCTAGGATCAACAAGTACGGACAAAGATCTGATGGTGGTACATTCAAGAACAGAAGCATACAAAAGAGCAAAGCAATTAAAAGATTTGTTTCTAGAGTTCACGACTCATCTAAAGCAACTTTATAAGAAGTTCTCTGAGGAAGAGATGATGATTGTGCAGACACAGCAACAGTTCAACCATTCTTTTATTCATAGAGCTAGGTGTGAGCCCTAGTATATAGTGTTATATTGCTCGTGTATATCTTGGCCATTGCAACACGTACGTTCTTGACAGAGAAGTTGTTGTTTTTCTATAACATTAGAAGATTTATGCTATTTCATCTCTCCTTAAAAGGTGATTTGGTAAAGTCTTGTTCACTGAGCCTCTAAGAAAATGCCTTTTACGCGACCTTGTTATATACAGTATAGTGATTTGCCACTATACTATGTTGTAATGGAGATTTGAGGAGAGATAGAAACCCTAACTAATGAGGGAGAAGAGAGAAGAGGAGCGTGAAGATGAATGTAACACTGGAAAAATGAATACTCTGTATCTCATTACTTGTACAAGCTATGTATATATACAAGGCTTTACTAATTGCTATAACCACCTCACTAACCAATCACGTGTATCATTAACTAACTAACTAACACACTAATCTGCTAGAACATAAATAGACTAAACTATCCTTGTATTCAAGTTACATCTTTTGTCTCAATACTCCCCCTCAAGCTAGGTGGTAGAAAGACATCAAGTACACCTAGCTTGGACATCAAATACTCGCGTTGCACTCGTGGTAGACCTTTGGTTAGAATGTCTGCTAACTGCTCCTTTGTAGCTACATATTCTATTTGTACCAGATCATCCTGTATCTTTTCCCTTATAAACTGAAGGTCTATTTCAATGTGTTTAGTTCGTTCATGAAACACTGGGTTGGCAGCTATTTGAATTGCTGCTTTACTATCAGTGTAGATGTTCACAGGGAGACCAACTTCTATACTAATGTCTTTGAACAGACCAAGTATCCACACCAATTCAGCTACAGTTGATGCAATGCTTCTGTACTCAGATTCTGCAGAGCTCCTAGAAATGGTGCTTTGTTTTTTTGACTTCCAGGATATGAGAGAATCACCATACTTGATGAAGAAGCATGTTACTGACTTCCTAGTGATAGGGCAGGATGTCCAGTCTACATCACAATATGTAGTGATAGTGTTCCTCTGTTTGCTAGACAACAGTATGCCTTGACCTTGTTGGTTCTTAACATATCTATCCACCTTTTGAGCAGCTTCCAAATGTGATCTTTTCGGTTTCTGCATAAATTGGCTTATTGTCTGAACACTATATGCTATGTCTGGCCTTGTGACAGTTAAGTAGAGTAGTTTCCCTTGTAATCTTTGATACTTGTTGATGTTTATTAACATTTCATCATCAATTGCATTAGAGCTGCTAGTATGTTCATCATACTCCTTAGTGGTCAGTTTGATGTTGGCTTCAACAGGTGTTGCTGTAGGTTTTGCTGCTCCCAGTCCAAGCTCAGAAATATTAACCGAAAACCTTAAAGCTCGTGTGACTTCTAGGATGTGTCCGTGCTTTCTCTCAGCAACTCCATTTTGCTGAGGAGTATAAGCACAGGTTCTTTAATGAATAATACCATACTTCTGAAACAATGGGGTACAGTTAGAGTTGGCAAACTCATTATCTGACCTGACTGCTTTCATAATTTTGTTAAACTGAGTTTGAATGAACACAATAAGTTGAGTAAGCACCACACGCACGTTAGATTTGAGCTTCAATAGGAATAACCAAGTCATCCTAGTAAAGTCATCGACCACTGTCAGAAAATACTTATTGCCATTAAAAGTTGCACAGTCATATGGACCCCAAACATCAAAATGTATTAGATCAAAGGCAGCAACAGTCTTAATACAACTAGAAGGGAATGGCAACCTGGTTTGCCTATCACAGGGGCATACACTACATTTATTGATAGTGTCATTGATACTAGCTAGTTTGGCAGCAAACAGTTTCCTAAGAACACTATTAGATACATGACCTAGTCTTTTATGCCACAAGGCAACATCAACTGTAGTGTCACCCTGTCTTGACTTTATTCCAGCAGCAGCTAAAGAGACTGCAATGAGCTTCTTACCACCATATCTCTACAGAAAGTATAGACCATCTCTTTCTCTACCAGTCTCCCTCACCTTGTCACTGAAGAGATCCTGAAATACACATAAATTGGGATAAAAGGAAGCAAAGCATTTAAGATCTCTTGTCACTTTAGAGACTGATAATAAGTTGAACTTGAACTGAGGTACACAGAAAACTTCTTTAAGAGTGCTTCTGTCTGAAATATTACTGTCACCAATGTGAGTTACTTGAGTGACATCTCCATTAGGTAATAAGACTCTCCTAGGCTTAGAGGGAGCAACTACAGAAGTCTTAGTGAGCAAGTTAGCATCTGACACCATATGATTAGTTGCTCCAGCATCAATAATCCATTCTTGTGGACTAGTAGATGCTAAGAGAGCAGTGCTGGTACCTGCCACGTTTGCTTGAGCAGAGGAAGTTGAATTGTTCAGAAACTGCATTATCTAATCATACTATTCTTTAGTGAAAGGAAAAGCACTTCCTTGAGCCTGTGAAGAGGAACCTGTGGAAGATTCATGTACCTGTATAGAGGAGGATCCTGCTTGAGCTTGAGGACCAGAATGACCCCGTGCCTGACTCATAGCTTGAGAATATTCAGCTCCTTGATTCATAGTATGTTGGTGATTTTGATATGCAAGCAAATGAAGCATTGGTGTTTGCTGAGGAACATGGTTTGAGACATGATTGGAGTTCATAGGCATAGTGTATCCAGGTTCGACCATTATATTGTAAGCCCCAGCTCCCCCTTTCTTTTTGAATTTATAATCTGATGAATAACCTATTATTTTGAAGCAGTTTTCTTTACTGCGGCCCTTCATTTTGCATAACTCACACTGAATGTTATAGTTCTTCCTAAATTTTTGATTGAAACTAGGCTTAGCACTGTATAGTGCAATTGAATCATAAGGATGTGTATTTATAGTAGGTGAAGATCCTAAAATACTAGCAGAAGCAGCTACAACTCTTTGACTTTCATCACGCATAAGCATGGCATATGCTTGATTCACTGAAGGAAGTGGCTTCATCATAAGTATTTGACTACGAGCTTGAGAGTAAGAGTCATTCAAGCCCATTAGAAACTGATACACCTTTTTCTTGATACACCTTTTGCTTTCAATAAACATAACTAATAAAAAACTTGCTTTCGTAGATGTACAATAAACTCCTTGGTCTTAACACAATCACAGCCAGGAGTGGGTATAACAGACTCGGACTCATCCCAGGTCCTTTGAGCCTTGAATAATAGACAGAGATAGAGGAAGTACCTTGACTTAGGGTAACAATTTCCTTGTGTAAATTGTAGCAACGAGTATCATTCACTTTGTCAAACCTCTCTTGTAAATCCATCCACACCTTCTGTGCACTAGTGACATAAGAAATACCACTGATTAAGGTTGGTGCAACCGAGTTCATTAGCCATGACTATACAATTGCATTGCATCATTACCATTGGTACCAATACTTCTCACGAAATTACTCTTTTGTCCACCTGCCATCAACAATGCCAGTTTATTGCGGCTAAGTAACATAATACGCATAGATCGATACCACAAGGAGTAATTATCAGTGCCGGTCCGCTAGAATGAAATCAATAAAATTTCACTTGTGTCGCTGGGAGCTAGGTATAGAGGGTGAGTGACTGCAACTGTAACACCTTCCTCAAATTTATCATTGGAGGATGCATGCGATGCATTTTCAGCTGTGAAGTTGCATTTTCATGTTCCAAATCATCAATCGCCATTGTTGAGTACTTTGGAGCTTCGAATCAGAAAAAAATGAGATTTTAATTGTTTTGTGAATGCAGAGAAGAAGACAGAGTAAAGGAGAAGACATATGATCGATTTGCGAGCTTCGATTCAAAGCTCGAGCTCTGGTACCACGCTGAAATAGAGATTTGAGGAGAGATAGGAACCCTAACTAATGAGGGAAAAGAGAGAAGAGGAGCGTGAAGATGAATGTAACAGTTGGAAAAATGAATACTTTGTATCTCATTACTTGTACAAGCTATGTATATATACAAGGCTTTAGTAACTGCTACAACCACATCACTAACCAATCATGTGTATCATTAACTAACTAACTAACACACTAATCTGCTAGCACATAAATAGACTAAATTACCCCTGTATTCAAGTTACATCTTTTGTCTCAACGCACTAGAAGCTTTTTTTTATGCGAGAATTTAACATTTTATTACATGTCGTTCTGACCTTTGCCCACATCGTTTTATCATATTGCAAAATATAATTTCACCACAAGGTGATTTTATTGATCCCTTTTATGATATATAGATGTATAGTTCTGCCCATGTTGCGATGATATTGGATGTGAATGTATCTTGCATTCATGTGGGGTTAAGTGTACATGTTGCCACTATTAAGTCTGTTGTTAAAAAACTAAGCCACTTCTCAATAAGTAAAATAAAAGTTGGATTCACATTTGGCATTTGAATTTGGTTTCCGAATTATTCTGGGAAACTAATATGTGGAAAATAATGTTTGGGAAATGGTATATACGGTTTGGTATTTCAAAATCAGTTTTGTAGAAACATTTGTATCAGTTTTGTGAAAGCTTCATATAGATTTTTCTCTTCTGTTTCGAAAAATATTTTGATCTTTTTCAAAAACTCAATTTATGTTTCAAACCGAATGATTTTTGAGTGAGAAAAACTTCTCAAAAACCCAAAATCTAGATAGAGTGGATTAAAAGAAATGTAAGTTTGTATTATGGATTTCAAATTAAAATTTCTTTTGGAATATACAATATAAACTAAATTATGGTTTTGTAAAAATGAAACTCAAATGTTAAAAAAAAAAAGTTAGAGAAACAGAGCATTTTTGGACCCTCAGTTATTCATAAATCCAAATTTTAGTTTTTTTTTTATATGACTAAGCATGTTTAAACTTCAATTTAGGGAAATATTGTTTCCGGTCCATTTTTAGGTAAGAATTTGTTTCATTTGGACTACTTTTACAACTCTTTCAAATGATGTAGTGTACATAATTTGGTGAAGATTCACAAGTAAAGGACTCAAAAGTGCACATTACAATAAATTGAAAGTTAAATTTGCTTAACCAAATATCACAAGGATCAGAAATACAATCTATTATATTATTGAGGACTACAAGTGCAAATTGTAATTCCAAACACAAAAAATGTTCTCCAGAAAAACTCTTTTTCTTCCAAAACCATAATCACAAAAACTAAACAAAATCAAATCTCAAAATGTTCTCCAGAAAACTATTATTGTGAAAAAAAGGGAACAAACAAAGTGGGTGAAATACATGGGAATCTTCATCACTGTTTAATTATTGAAAATTTGAAATACAATAGATGCTGAAATGTGGGGTTTAGTAACGTTATACTGAAGAATAGAAACTCCAAACCCAGAAAAGGGAAATCAGTGCAATAATATTCAATGGGATGGGGAAGAGGATTATACGAGGGAGTAATAGGAGTGGGATCGTTAACTTTACTGGGTTGGACGGGGTTATGGTTTTTGAATCGGCGACTGTATAAAGAGTATGAAGAGAAGAGAGTACTGGTTCAGATCATCTTCAGTGTTGTTTTCGCTTTCTCCTGCAACCTTTTTCAGCTTGTACTTTTCGAGATCATTCCCCTTCTTTCTAAAGAGTATGTCTTTTTTTTTTGGCTTATTCGCATTGTTCGTTTCTGCTTTGTATTGAGCTTATTGTTGTTTGATTTGTTTAGTTGCGAACTAGGTTTGGAGAATTATTTTGTTTTATTTTCTGAAAGTAATATAGCATTAATGGGATGAGAAAAACACAATCTTTAATGGTAGAGACTTTGCTTTTGTTTTTGCTTAATTGGAAACCGGTGAGCTGGCTGTGTGTAACTATGGGTTCATACTGGACAAAACTCTGTGGTTGATAGAAGATAAATTCCAGTGTTCAGTCTAATTGGGGATTATGTTCTTTCTAGTTAGAGATTGTCTTTGCTGGCATAGTTGGAAATTCTTCATTGGATCTGTGACATTGGAATAGAAAACTAATGAATCCTGATTGATCAATAAATGGGCTAGGTGTCAATCCGAAGCTAGTTGGATCGCTCATATAAATCATCTATATTTGTTTTGTTCAACTGGGACATTTTCCTTTCATTACTGGTAATAATTTGTACTATGAGGCAAATTTCGGGTACTCTAAAACTATCAGTTCTGTAAATGTCACTGTTTGAACATTGACATGCAAGTCTTTGACCAGATTAAAAGGAGTCCTGGTAAATACCAGACTAATGTAAGTATAATAACAATAACCAAGCCTTAAACCAAACTAGTTGATCTTGCGTACATTTATGGTTGGTTCTTCTTTTGTGTTCTTTAACTAAATTCACATTGATTATGAGATTAGAGGTCTTTGCAAACAACTTATTTCATGTAACTTTGGATACACCTTATCTCCTTTTAGCACATCAATCATAAGAGTGTCATACCTACAGACGGTGTATTTGGAGGTTTATATAATGAGGCATCTTTGCCAACTATTACTTATTTTATCCTCTATATGTGCTACATGCAGCTTCTATCTTATGTAATCATTTTAAATCATGTCTAATCTTTTCCATTGAAAAGCTTGTCAACTCTTCTGTAGTTCTTTCCTTTTACTTTGTTATGTACCCTTTTATTGCATAGTATTCTTGTAGCACTGATGCACTTCAACTAGCCTATTGAGTTCTATGTGTTACATCTTTAGCTATATGTTAGAGCATTGAAGCCCAAAAGGTCCTGTAGCGAACTGTTGTCTCTAAAAAATCGTGTCTTCCACTCTCTCATTCTGTTTCTTTTCAACTAAGATCTTTATTTTTTTACATAAAGGGAATATAAAGAGAGTGCGAGATAAGAAGCAAAACATAAGAGTTATGAAAATTCTTGTTTTCAAAGTCCTCTTTTGGTGACAGCTGGCTTATGATTATGTTCATTATAGTGTGTCTCCCTGTATGCATATCTATAATTGTTAACTGCTGCTTCATCCTGCAGAACCTTAAAGTCACACAAACCAAAGATTGATTCATCATGTTGACGTTGTTTTGTGAACATTGTAGTTTTGTGCAAACACTATGTCCTCAATACCAGTTCAATGTATGGCCTATCAAAAATATAGTTGCATGAATGACTCTAGTAGGTTATATCATACTTCTTTCTTCTTTCATTCCCTTAAAGAATACCGATTGTAATGTACTTGCTTTTTAAGAGTGTAATGTTTAACCACATTACTATATTGACATTGGTAAAAGAAAATGTTTGAAATAATAGTTCGTGAAGAAAAATGGCATAATTAGCTGAAAACATGTCATATCATGAGTAATATTTATATAAAGTAGTATTATCTTATATTAGTTTGAATTATTGGAGAGAGAGAGAAGTGTTCTATGAAGATGTCAGTAGGTCATTTTTTGGGACAGGGAACAGTATCTTCAGTCTGTTTTACTAGATTTGCACTATCTTTTAGATTTTTATATGCTGTTTCTTTGTAAATTGTAGGGCAAGATGGATGAATTGGAAGGTGGACTTGTTTTGTTTGATATTGTTACTAGTCTTCATGTTGCCCTATTATCATTGCTACCTGATGCTTTGCAACAGTGGTAAGTTGCCCTATTGTCATCACTACCTGATGCTAACTATGATCATGCTCAATGAAAACCTCAGTTTTAACCTTTTACATACCTTTGTTGAATCTGCTCTATCCTCTTTTTGTTTTCTTTTCTATCTTTATTTTTATTTTATTTTTTCCATTCCTGCTATTGATAAGAATTGGCTGATGCTGCTTACTGTGCAGTCATTTTAGTCCCCAGATCCTTCATGGCACAAAAAATGTGATATTTTTCTTCCTCTCTTGCATGAAGAAGGGCAAAGATTACCATGAGGCCCCCTAGACATGATTTTTATTTATCGATCTCTCAACATAATGTGTTTTCTCAAATACTGTTAAACTATTTATAACATGTGATGTTGCTCACTTTTTATGATTATTCTCTCAAGAGAAAAGTGATAAGATCCCAAGTATTGGATACTTTATGTCCTCCGCAACTCAACCCCTTAGCTATTCAGGAAAAGAGAGAAGAGGATAATACCTAGAGAGATGTGCTTTGTGGAAATTCCGAGATGGTGTTTATAGGAATCTTTACACGAGCTTTATTTGCATGATTTCCTTGTCTATGCACGTGGAGGTTTCATGGTAGTTACCTCTAATCTTTAAGTAGATGGCGTCCTTCTGCATGCTTGCTTCATCACCTTTAAATGCACTTTGTTGAAAGCACTAATTTGGTTCATGCTCTTAAAGTGGAAGAGGACTTTTATCATGTGGATTAAATGACAAAATACGAATTCAGAAAGTTTTTTATTTTGGAATTAGTGAAGACTTGATCTGGTTATGGGTTATTACGGCTAGGTTAGAATTCTAAACATTTAATGCACTTCAATAAAATTGACTATATGTTCTTTGGTTACCTTGTGAGCTAGTTTTTGCCATTGTCTTAGGACCAAGATCCATCTTCTTAATGTGGCATCATAGCCAAACCCGTCCCAATTCTTGGTTTATCCAATATTGGGCCACCATGTTGTATTGTACCTTGAGTGTGCTGGAGGAAGGAGGATTTAAGTGTCCTACATTGATTGAGATAATGGTTGTTGTTTGCTTATATGGTTTGGGCAATCCTCGCCTCAGAGCTAGCTTTTGGGTTGAGTTAAGCACAAAGTCCATATTTTTAAAAAGTGTATGTTTGATGTCACATTGTTGTCCATTTATGCAACTTCATTGCAAATCAACTGGCTACTCCATGTTCTCCTGTAAGGGCCAACAAATAATATCATAATCACCATGAATAAATAGGACAGTCTTGAACATATTTGATTATATGTACTCCAATGCTGTTCCAACATTCTCTCTCTCACGCGCACAAGTTGCATTGTGGTATGCAGTGTTGGCTTTTAACCATGAATTTTTTTACACTCCAACAGATATTAGATTGTACCATCTCAATCACCTCTCTTCAGAAAATGTTCTGAATCTTGAGTTTGTATTCAGGCGTGAGGAAGGAACGGGCTGCAGTGGGTGCTATCTTATTCTTGTTGGCTTTTCTCTATGGTTTTTGGCGTTTGGGCATTCACTTTCCAATGCCTTCACCTGACAGAGGTTTGTATATTATCTTGTTGCACATGGATTTGGTTTCGCACTCTCCTTGTTGATTTGCTGGATATTGCAATATGTTCTCTGGGCCTCACCTTTATGAATAAGACATCATAGTGACATGATTATATAGGACCAGAAGTTTTCCCCTCTATTCTTACTGTAATTTTGAAATTTTGCGTGAAGAAGAAAGCTACTCTAGTCTCTTGAACCATTTCTTTAGTCTAGTTTTCTCATCTACACATTCCCGTAACCGAACAGGGATGAACTCCAGATTCTTTCTACTGTATCTTAGTCATCATAGTGTTTGCTTGCTCTAACTTATAGTATCTGTATTTGATGGAAGAAGCTGTAACGTTTTGTAAAATCTTAAGTGAAATAGTTAAAAATGATTGAAGATGAAAATGAAAGATTCTCTAAGGGTATCGTTAGAGTCCCACACTAGTTTAGGGTATGAGTGATAGTCTCCTTATGCTTTTGGACAATCCTCACCTCGTTAGTTAGTTTTGGGGTTGAGTTAGGCTAAATTTCTATTTTTTTTTTAAGATGGTACCAGAGCCAGACCAAACCCCATTTTTGGTTTACCCAATTCTCACCCCATGTTATGTTGTCCATGCTTTGCATATCCAGCCCCGAGCAAGCGAGGGGGTGTCAGATTCCCACATTGGTTAATGGTATGGGTTGTAGTTTCCTTATATGGTCTTGGATAATCCTCATCCCAACTAACTTTTGGGCTTGAGTTAGGCCCAAGATCCATTTTCTTAACAGATCTTATTGAAATTCATAGCCATACTCTATTGACTTTACCCACAGTCCCGGTCACGGAGTTTAATAGTAAAGGTAGTGTCTATAATGACTCATTAGACTACATGGGAGGTCCACTCAGTTTATTTGAAGTGGACTAACAAATATACTTGTAATTTTCCTCAGACTCTTGTCATCTTTGTATTCTACTTTCTTTTTTCAGGATTTTTCACCATACCTCAGCTGGTTAGCAGGATTGGAGTGATTGGTGTGACTGTCATGGCTATCCTTTCAGGTTTTGGAGCAGTAAATTTGCCGTACAGTTATCTATCTCTATTCATCAGGTAAGATGGGAGCATAAGATGCAGCTTAAGTTGGTGCATGTGAGTGCAAACACAGTTGGTTTCTAGTTTATCTTCTTGGAGATGGCACTGAACTAGATCCAATAGTGAGCTGTACAGTACATTCCTTTCTTAACCTCCTTAGTGTAATGGAAAAACTGTTATTTTAAGAAAGACAGCTTTGGGTAATAACCCCTTGCTTTTATCTACAACCTACTATAGCCTTACTTGGACTGGGTTTTACCAATTTGAATTTGATACTCCTAGCATTTAGTCAAATATATATTGAACTGAAGTCTATAGTAAAGGAGCTTATTATTTTTATAGTAATTATATTTGGTTTTAGTTTCCTGACTCTTTCTATATCGAAGAGAAATAGAGGAATCTGAGATCAAAGGACTGGAGAGGCAGCTGATGCAGTCAATTGAAACTTGCATTGCAAAGAAAAAGAAAATTATTCTTTGTCAAAGGGAAATGGAGCGGATCCTAGATTCAGAAGAGGTAATTGGTTAACTTAAGCTTGTTTTTGTATGCTTTCATTATGGGTACACAGACGCGCCCAAAAAAACAAGCACGGAAAGAAACACGCAGATTATGTCTGTAGGTAGCCTGTACTTTTTCTTCTCTGTCATACTAGTGTAAAGTCATTGATGATAGCTTAGTATCTAAAATGGGCTGAGACACTTTATTATGCCTTTGTATACCCTTATCCTACCTGCGTTGGAAGTCATAGGTACTCCCTGCAATTCTTGATACTATCTAGAGTATATATATATAGTTCTACTGCATATTCGTTCAAGTGAGTCAACTGAAATGCCCTTTGCACTGCCATTAATAGCATAGGAATCACACTTTGGAAGGGTGGACAATTAGCTATAGCAGTGGGTGTTGTAGCGTTTGTCAGTATTTCCTGCATGAAACACTATCTTGAGTATCTCTGTCATACCCTTTTCTAGATCAAGTAGCATTTTTAGAAAGATATTGACGCCCTTAAGAAATACTATAACTTGCTTTAGAAACCAGAACTTAATTTCTTGCTGGAGTTATACTGCAACTGTCCGTACTTAAAAGAAAGTTTAGCTGATGTTTGGGAAGGTGTTGCTGATGTTTAACTGTCCGTATTTAAAAGAAACTTCAAATTTCATATTTTACATCAGCTGCTATTGCCAAGAGATAATAAAAGAAAGAAAAGAGAAGGTGTCCTTTGGTGGTTCTGAACATTTGCAGTTTCTTATTTATTTTATTTTGAAGTACTCTATTTGTTTCTGCTGCAGAAAACAAAAGCGAATTCCTTCTTTAAGCGCATTGTGGGAACAGTTGTACGATCCGTTCAGGATGACCAAAAGGAACAAGGTTAGTGTATGGTGGAAAGTTTCTCCAGGAAATTTATTGATTCAAGTGCATAAAAGCCCCCGTGTGGAAGATTCTTTTTTTTTTTAATGTCTCCTTCATGTGCTGATTGTAGTTAATTTCTTCTGCGGCAGTTCCCAGTTTCTATTGCTGCGTCTCTCTCTCACTCTCACTCTCACTCTCTGCTATGATTCTTTTCTAATATTATATAAGTCTGACCATGCCATAGTGATAGGTGAGTAAAAACTATTCTGGATGGAGTGAAGCAGTACATCTAAAGACTTAAAATAAATAAAAAAATGGCAGTAAACAACTGACAATGATTGATGCTTTTTATTCTAGGATGTGGGTTGTGAAACAATTCCTAACTTTATTTTGAATGATCACATTTAGGGCCTATTACAATGTTCAAGAAGAAAGTTCATTATTGCGATTCTGATTAGCAGGAGCGATAGTGGGATAAAAGCTTGCAACTTTTTCCATTAACTTCAAAAATTTGTCGGATTAAATGCAACTGTTTAAATAACAGTTGATAATAGGAGAAATTGAGTGGCGTAAATTGCATTTTTGAAGAAGTGACTTTCTTTTCGGGGCATCTTCTAGCTATATCGCATTTGAATGGAGGGAGACATTGTACTTTAGATATATGGGTTGACATTCTGTCACTCTTTTTGGTAAGATGATTTGATATACTGTCACTCAAGTAGGACAACAGCAAGGTGGTTTCCTTTTCCTCTCTAATTACTAGGATCTACGAGCATTACAATAAGTCACCTAAGGTGTTCAGCTTTCATCTGTTTAAGTTTGTTTTTTCCTTCTTTTTTGAACATCAAATGCTCTTTCTTCAACTGTACATGATACTTACATCACTTTCTAACAATTCTTTGACGCACTTCTCTTTGGTGTTGGATGCACGTCATGCATGAAGATATTAGAAATATGGAAAACGAGGTTCAGGCCTTAGAGGAACTATCAAAGCAGCTTTTCTTGGAAATTTATGAGCTTCGCCAAGCTAAGGTTCGTATTGAACTTTCTTATTCTGTATTATTTTTTTACCCTCCACCTTGCTGAAAAATGACCAATGTGATTGTTAAGAGTGTAATGTCTGAATAAATTATCATATTGATTTGGTAGAAGGTTAAAACTATAGTTTGAAGTGTGAAAAGTTGGAGTAGTTATTCTGTATCATATAACATCAACTTTTGAAATATGAGAAGTAGTATCAAGCTACTTTCTCAAAAAATATATAAAATTAGTAGTATCAAGTTATATTAATTTGAATTGACCAGCAAACAGTTATATTAATTTGAATTGTTGCAAAGGGTGGAGAAACATTCCTTTTAAAGAAATAGGTCAGCACTTTTGGGGAAGATTGGATAAAGAAGGTAGGTCACAGTCACACTCAATGGTGTGGCCTAGTGGTCAATGAAGTGGGTAATACCAGGGTTCAAATCCCAACGAAGACACAAGACCACTAGATGATTTCTTCTCATCTGTCTAAGCTTTTGCTGGCAGAGTTAGTATCTATGCTGGTGTGAGGTCGCAGGTAGCCGATGGATTTGCATGCAAGCTGGCCGAGACACGAGCATTATATAAAAAAATGAATTATGAAAGTAGGTCTCGTTGAGACAGGGAGCTCAAAATCACTATTCCACTCTCTTCCCTTCTGAACTTTACCTAGCAGACTCTCTTGTGCAATATAAGTTGTGTGATGCTTAACTAAGCCTTCCTGAGGTTTGAAACTTGTTTTCCCTTAATTCATCATTCCTTGGCTTCTCTTTTTCTCAGAAAAACCCATCAGGCTTACTTATTTCCAAACAGTTGGCACCTTTAATGATATCAAACAGACTACCAGTTTGCAGGAATGACACACCTCGTCTCTGGTTAAAATATTAATTCTGCCCACATGGTTTGAGCAAATTATGCAACCAAGAAACCTTCTCCTCTTTCCTTCCCCCTTTCCCCCAAAATGTATACGTGTATGACAATATTACATTGCCGTCATCTTTTTCTTGGACCATTTGCTTTCTTTGGTTGTTTGTCAGCTTTCCTAGTTGAAGGGTTTTGGGGCAGGGGGGTTGTCTACTGTATTTTTCGTGTCTCCTACTCGACAAGGTAGTCCCTCTATCTATATGTGTTCATTCAGCTTCCTTAATTCGTCTTTGTGTTGAATTTTTATAGGTTTTTTGTTGTTTTACCTTATGAGAGCAGCAAACTATTCCTTTATTTGTCCGCAAGCTCATAATTTTGTGGTCCATCATCTAGTTCAGCTTGTATCGTGAAATTACTTTCTTTTATTGATTTAATTCAGTTGCTTTGAATCTACTTTCTTTGTGTTTAACTGCTTCAATTTGTTGACTACACCAGGAAGCTGCTGCTTATTCTCGAACATGGAAGGGTCACTTGCAAAATCTTTTGGGCTATGTGTGTTCTGTGTATTGTGTGTATAAAATGATAAAGGTATGAAAATGATGTTAAATTTGGTAAATTTGAGCACCTCTCACATGATGACTGCTCTTTTCCAGTTCATATGACAGGCCTATGTTAGTGTTAGCAGGAAACTTGATTGATGTTTTTCTTGTTGATTGACACCACTGCACAAACTTTTATGGTCCTCCATTTCTATATCATATTAATACTGACATGGACAACAAAGTTTGTTTATGTTGTGGATTTGCTGCACTGCACACATAGGTCTTTCTATGATCTTTCGTGTTGCTTTCACCCCCTCCAAATTCTGCTTATTATTATTATTTGAGCCAGATAGCTAATTGACCATTTTAACTTTTGCAGTCTCTTCAGAGTGTTGTTTTCAAGGAGGTATGCTTCTAAATTAGAATTTCATCTGCTTAGTGGTTCACTTTTCTTTATATAATTTATAGCTGAATCCTTGAGATTTGACAACAAGCATATTGTTCTTTGACAGGCCGGTTCTGTCGATCCTGTAACAAGGACAATCAGCATATTTTTACAGTTCTTCGACATTGGAATAAATGTCAACTTATTATCACAGGTTTATCTACTGTCTGCATTATTTCATCTACTCATGGTATTCATGGTTATGGTTCTACTTAATGGTTATCCTATCATTTGAGTGAAGCTATTGTTTGCGTTAATACGTTTTGGAGATGAACCTTCAGCGACGAGGTTTGATTAAGAAGCTATCGTCTCAAACTTCTTACATGAAATTGGAAGTAATTGGGTCGAAGATAAAAGTGCTTGAAGAAAATGTCTTTTGGTTTTACCTATAGCAAAACCGCTGAAGGGAAACTAGATCAACATTCTTGACAAGTGAACGCTGAGAAGCTAATTCAACACATTTTCAATTTCTCTTTGTGTGATGATGGATGTGTAAGCACATTAAAAGTTTCAAAGGATTAAAATAAAATGTGGAATTTAAACTAAATCTCATTGATAATAAGACAATCTTTAACAGTACACTGTTGTCTTTTAATATCAAGTCGAGGTTATCTTTACTACCCGAGTGAAATCAATTGTATATCATTTAATAGGGAACGGTGTTATATTGGATAGGTGAAGGGGTCACTCATCACTGTTGTATGAGTGGCATTGTAAGCTTTTAGGAGCTCATTCTGAGGCTCTTTCTCAGTAGTTTATTGTTTCTGTTAGTATTTCGTCTTTTATTTTCTTGACAGGAGTTATCTGACCATTGCTCCCTTGTGCAGTACATCTCTCTCCTGTTCATTGGGGTATTGATTGTGGTCTCAGTGAGGGGCTTCCTGACTAACTTGATGAAGGTAAATTTAGGCTTGATGGTCCCATCTTCAAGTTTGCTGGATGTCATCATTTATGGTTTATGGATCTAGAAAACACCTGTTCATCTCGTTTACATTGTTTTAGTATATAAGTTGCTTTCAGATAACAATATAATTGCAATTTTTTTTAAGGTTTAATCTTAAACATTTCTTCATGAGTAAATCCTCCAATTTGGTTGCACATGTACCCGCACAGATAGACGCAAGGAAACTACTTGACATCCTTTAACTGTTTGGAAATGCAAACCCAGCTTTTTATCGACTCGAGTATCCTGCATCTTACTTGAAGCGTTTTTGTTTGTGCCCAGTTCTTCTTTGCAGTTTCCAGAGTTGGAAGTGGATCATCAAGTAATGTCGTGCTTTTTCTCTCTGAAATCATGGGAATGTATTTCCTGTCGTCCATTCTTTTGATTAGAAAGAGCCTGGCAACCGAATATCGGTATGGTTACTACTAATAAGCTTTTTACTTTGAATTTCTGTTACTAGAGATCTTGTTTTATAGTGATCGATGCTTTAAACTAATCAAACCCAATTTCCTATCATGAATAGTTTTCTCCTCAATGCGACTTGCTGAGTGGTTTAAAAAAAAATTGGTCTGATAATTATGGCTATAACGCTAGAACCGACCATTTTGCGGACATGGGAAATATATTAAGCTAGTTAGTAACTTAGTTGATTTTGATACATGATCTGATATTGAACAAAATTTATCTGCACTCGGTGTTTACACTATGCCCGACCTGATTTTTGTTGGCAGGATAATCATAACGGATGTATTAGGTGGAGACATTCAATTTGACTTCTATCACAGGTGGTTTGATGCAATATTTGTAGCAAGTGCCTTCTTATCTCTGCTTTTGCTATCTGCGCACTATACAGCTCGAAAGGCCGATAATAAGCACCCAATTGATTAAAACATTTTCCTCAGTGAAGAGGCAATTTTTACTTTTAGTCCACAAGGAATTACCACTATTCTTTGTAATGTTGTATCATTGATATAGTAGAAATTTTTGCATGATCAAAGCCCTCTGGTTCACATCTGTTTGATATCTTCTAAATTCAAGTTGACAACCCAAAATTTCCAAATTTTTTTGGGGTATTACTACTTTTAGCCCATGCTAGAAACTATTTACATTCGATAGCCGAAAAAGTGTATAAAATTTGTTTAATTTTGTATGTAACATACAGAATATATATA